GTATTTACGCTCTTTTCATTGCTCTTGGTCTTCTTCCATATGTCTATGCCAAAGGGTTGGTAAATCTAGGAAATATAGATTGCAAAGTTGAAATCTGAAAATCCTTCCTTTTGGCTTCAATTCCTGTCTACCCTTTAACTCCAAGGATTTCTTCCTGTTGTACAGCTACAAAGATGAGCATTGTTTCTATTTCTTTTCAAAATATATTAATGAATTAGCTTCCTTTTAACACTAGAACAGACGCTCTCCAAGATGGTATGATAGAGAAGATTTCTGAGACTTAAAAAAAAGGTAATTTCACTTCCGTCTTTAAGAAGATTCTTTAGGATCATAAGCTTTAAGAAGTATTATTTTAACTGTTTGGAGCTATAGAAAAATCAGGTTGGTCTACAGGTTAAAGCTAAGGTCAGAACTATGATTAAGCTAAAATGTTATAGGACTTAGAGCTGTAGAGATTTTAGAGAAAATCTATAGTCTGTGAAAAAACTGGGACACTAATACACTTTTAGTAGAACTATGAACTGATCCAACCATTTTGGAGAGCAATCTGGAATTATGACAAAAGAGTTATAAAATTGTGTATACTCTTTGACCCAGCAATGCTACTGTGGTGGCAAAGAACTGGAAATTGAGGGGATGCCCATCAACTGAGGAATGGCTAAACAAATTGTGATATATGGTTGTGATAGAATACTACTGCACCATAAGAAATGATGAACAAGTTGATTTAAAAAAAATATGAAAAGACTTGTATGAAAGTGTGTGTGCGTGTGCGCGTGTGTGTGTGTGTGAGAAACAGTGGCTCCCTCTAGTGTGGGGAGGGAGGGAGACATTTCAGAACTTACAATGTAACAAAAAATTTTTTTAAAAAGAGATTATCTATAGTCCAAGAAGCCCCAACTTCATTTTATAAATGAGAAAGCTGAGGTCCAGAAGTTAAGTGAGTTGCTTAAGTTCACAAAAGCAGTAAGTAGCAAAACTGAGAGCTGAACGTAATGATAAATCCATGTGTTCTTTCTACAATACCATGCCGAACCTAATATTGTTAGTATTTCAAAATTCATTCTCGGGGCAGCTAGGTGGCACAGCGGATAGAGTACTGGCCCTGAAGTCAGAAGGACCCGAGTTCAAATCGGCCCTCAGACCAAACACTTGACACGTACTAGCTGTGTGACCTTGGGTAAGTCACTTAACCCCAATTGCCTCACTAAAAACAAAACAAAACAAAATTCATTCTCTGTACATCTGTCCCTTCCCCACTAATCTATGAATTCTAATAGCATCTTTCCTGAGAGGTGGTCCCTTTCTTAGATGTCCCTGAAAACTATACAACAATTTCAAGGGAAGCAGCAAATAGATATATGTGACTTAAATCCTGTGGATCTGGCTATTCTGGCTGGCCTTATCTCAAATTAACTACATACTCACCTGCGGCTCCTTAGTGGCTTGGGATAAAGTGAGTGCAATGTTTTCAAAATTCAAATTAGAGGACAAGCCAAAACTTCCAAAGAACTATGAATATATTCTAGACCCTTTAATTTCTGAGGAACCTGCTAAGGCTCTATGTTACAACAACAGGAGACTCAGCAGAGTTCAGGTTCAAAGTAGAGGAGCCCTCCACACCACCTTTCCCAAGTTATTATAATATATACCTTATAATAGTACCTGGGGTTCCAGCTTTAGTACTAAAGTGTCTAGATTAGATAAAATCACTTCAGGATGTTGCCGAAGTTGTTCTGGCCAAAGGTGTTGTATCATCAAGTCATTACATTATGTATTATCTGCACCTGGAATCCAAAAAGGACTTTGGCAGAGAAAGGCAAAAAATGATTTTTAAAAATATCTTCAGTTAGCTGTCTATAAAAGGAGATTTTTTAATATCATCTCTAAGACAGTAAGAGGACTTCCTAATTTACTTGTGAACAGGAAAGACCATTAAAGAGAGAAAAACATCACTGAGGGACCAATAACAAAAGCTTTAAGTAGAAATGCTCGTTGCTGTCTGTCCATTTCAGGTCAGCAGAAAATTCTTTCTGGAGAAGAATTATCCACTGACTATGTCATTAGCAGATTTAGATTAAACATAAAACACCCAACAAGGCTGTCTCCATTTGAGCCAAATGGATTAAATTAAATTTCGGCCTACTTTTTTCTTCTTTGCTGAGACATGAAAAAATGTTTATACTCTGGACACTATAAAACTGAAAGGTTCTTTGATTCTGACCATATCACAGCAATGGCAAGAGATTCAGGCTTCACTAAGCAAGATCTGGAACAGAAAAAAGGAAACATTTCCTGAAAATCAAGGTGATTAGTCCCAGATTACCAAAGGATGTTTTAGATTTACTATCCCTGAAAATCATTAGGAAGATGAAAGGCATGTTAGACTGTGCTTAAGTACGGCCCTTCCTGAAGGACAAACTAGACAACATTTGAAAGACATTTCTAGTTCTAGGAAAACATTATGAGAATGTGTTTATACCATAGCAAATCTAGACAAGTGGCTCCTTGAGCACAAAAGTAAAATTACCCTTAGACAGAAAAAGACTAAGATATCTAAAGTGAATGGTTAAATCCATTAAATACAATTCTTTCTAGTGGGACCCCCATACAAAAATTTCAGAAGTCCTCTTATCTTTTGTTCACTGCAAAATAAATATTCAGCAGAAAATGACATTCCTCTAACATCCAATTCCCCTTTTCATAAGGTACTATGTAATGGCTCAGGCATTGTTTACAATTAACATTCTTCCTCAACTCTTCAGACACAAAAATATGGGAAAAGGTCAAGAAAATGGTTATCAGTATAAATAAGAGGAAAACCTCTTCATACTCATTAATTCTTCTTTAGTGTCCTAGTGCTTCTAGTATCCAACCTTAAAACCTAAATTTTGGAGACCAGAGGGAGTATCTTTAATTTTTTGATCTATCCAAATCCAATCTATTTATCCAGAACTCATATGAAAAAGGGCAATATGTTTTTTTAAATGGAAGACAGCTTGTCATAATGGACAGAGTACTGGACTTGGAATCAAGAAGGTCTAATTTCAAAATGTGCCTATAACATTTACTAGCCAGGTGACCAAGACATATTAAACGATACAATGTATGTAAAACGCTTTGCACTTAGCTTTAAAGAGCTATAAAAATGCCCAATATTATTTTTCATTCAGAACAGGAGACTTATTTGATATTAACAATAGAAACCACTGCAGATTACGTAACTGATTTGTTATACATGAAGGGTGTTGTACAATATCATATCTTTGAGCTAGACAAGCAAAACAAAATGTAAGTTGACTTTAGTAAGCAGTAAGTTCTTTGATCCACCTTATTCAGTTTTACATCTTTCACAAGGTATTCTATACCTTGCACTAAGCTGGTATTGAATACATATTTGTTGATTCAGAGATAGTAATTCATTAATAAAACTATGTAAATCCAATGTGATAGTTTCCCATTCATTTACGTAATAATTTCAGGTATGCTTTACCTTTTTGTCTTATTAATCAGAATCTAAGCATGGTCTTGTATCCATACATAATTAGTAAACAATTGACAGTGGCTCTTATTACTTTAGGAAGTTTTTCTACCCCTCTAAACTATTTAATGCACAAGGAGACCTTCTTTTAAAAGGCTTCTCAAAAGTAAGAATCTTTTTGTTAAATTTTAAAAAATCAACTATTATTAAATCTAATTGTTTTATAAATTAACAGGAACATGCCTATATCAATATCTTCCTGGGCAATGCCTCCTAGTCCTATTAATAAGGCTGGAGAAGACAAGGATTATCTATTCAGATTAAATAAATTGCTAGTTCACAATGAGTCAGTGAAAACAGGACCTAAGAGCTACAACGGTCATCTAATTCAATATATACCTAACCAAGAAGAGAAGAGAACCCTTCTACAACATCAAGTCTCTGAAGACTATTTTCTTAGACAGTTCACTGACATTTTGGACAACTCTAATTGTTTTTCCTTATGTGAAATCCAGATGTCCCTCTGCAACTTCTGCCAACTAGAGGGCCTAGTTTTGCCTTCTAGAACATGCAAAACAAATCTAAAACCTTCAAATACATGAAGACTGTTAGTATGTCCTCTCCCTACTCCCAAGCTTTCTCTTCTCCTCACCACCAATGATATTCATATGGCACACTGTCCTATCCCCTTAACTTTTCCATTCCCCTTACCATGTTGCTCACCATCTTTGGCACATGCTTCAGTTTGCCTATGTCACTAGGCATAAATGAAATAATACAGGTAAAGCATCTTTCAAACTTGAAGGCCCTGAATGGGAGCTATCATCATTACAGTCTTCCTCAAACGTATCTCTCAAAACTGAACACAGTACATGTGGTACTGTGATTTGACCAGAGCAGAATTTTAGATACTAGGCCCCTCTGAAAGCAGCCTAAGATAGCATTAATTGTGTTGACTCATATTGAACTTACAGGCCATAAAAATCCACGGATCCATTTAATCAGAATAGGCATCTCAGCAATGACTTTCCCAAACTGTATCCATAAAACTAACTTTTAAAGAAAATGCAGACCTTTATCCTTATTGAATTCATGTTGTTAATTTATGGCCATTGTTCTAACCTATGCAGTATCTTTTGGATCCTGTTTTCTAACATATTAGCATCCCTTTCAGCCTCATGGTATCTATAAATCTGGAAAGTATATCTTCTACAATTTTATCTAAGTCATTAATAAAAATAATCAAAAACAGAAGGCTGAGAACAAATCCCTGGGCACTCTACTATGGACTTCTCTTCAAAGTTGACAGTGACTCATTAATATGTCTCCATTGATCTAATCATACAACAAATTATGAATCCATATAATCATACTAATATGTAGCCTACATCTATCTTGTTCATGAGGATACTGAGACTCTCAAATGCTTCGCTGACATAAAACAAAAGCTAGTACCCCTGCTTTCCTAGAGAAGATGAAATGGTCACTTTGGGTTCCCAGTGAAATCCAGAAGGCTTACCTTTCAATTTTCTTCCTAAGTTCTCTTTGTTTCTCTAGTTCCTTTACTTGTTCCCTCTCGATATCCATGAAAAGTCGTCTGTATCTTAAGTACTGCTTTTGACGCTAAAAGAAAAGTATTATAAATTTGCTAATGGCCAGCTCTCAGAGGACTTTCAAATGACAGTATATCTACTTCACATATGAGGAAACTGGCAAATGGCCTTGAAAAGATCCTCATTTCCCTCCACCTCAGATATCCATTAGAAATAATGCTTTAAACTGCACATCTGGACATATGTGACTAAACACATGTGACTAAAGATATGTTAGGGACAAAGACAAAGCACTGTTAATTTAGTTTGTCCTCCTAAACAAGGTTATGTCTGCTTTTTGTTCTTGGGTAAAAACATGAAAGCCACAGAGAAAAAGGCAGGCAACACTAAAGTAGGCGACATGATAAGAATCAGTTTAAGTTCCAATGGTGAGAACTCCATTAGGTAAGGATAATCTCACAGCTGAGGCACAAGTTGGGAGAGTATTTGTCCAAAGGGTTAAGTAACATGAAGTCAAATGCTATTATGGTTGACTTATCTAAACACTGTGTTTTAGCATACAACCTCCTGGAGAGCAGCTAAGTGGTGCAATGGATAGAACATTGGGCCTGAAGTTCAAATTTGAACTCAGACACTTACTAGCTACATGACCCTGGGCAAGTCCCTTAACCTTTCTCTGCCTGTTTTCCCATCTGTAAAACAGAGATAAGAATAGCACCTACCTCTCAGGGTTGTTGTAAGGATAAAATGAGCTAATATTTATAAAGCACAGTACCAAGCCCATAGAAGACACTATATAAATGTTAGCTATTACTATTATTGTTATTGCTATTATTATTATTGGCAGGCAAAGGGTTTGTGTGTGCCATTTTAGCATAATGTCCAGTCCCTAAGTAAAATAACATAAGTTTAAACTAAGTTTAGAGCCTAACAAAGTGATAAAATGAACAAGGAAAAGCCCCTGAACTGACCAAAAGCATTTAAGTTAATAAAGCAAATCAAAATTATGTGAATCATTAAGCATAACCTAGGATTGTTCTAAGATTCCAGATTTTGCTATAAATATACTTGATGGTAACTAAATTGCTAAAATCTTGAAATAATTTGCAAATAATGAAGAGCAGTTTATTACTGTTGTAATTTTTGGTCATTACTGTAATTGCTTCAAAGCTTTTGGATTTTGTAGTTTCAGTTCTCGGCTTCTTGTTATTGTTTGGTTGTTTCTGTCATGTCAGACTCTTCATGACCCCATTTGGGGTTTTCTTGACAAAGATACTGGACTGGTTTGCCATTTCCTTCTCCAACTCATTTTACAGATGAGGAAACTGAGGAAAACAAGGTTAAATGATTTGCCCAGGGTCACCCACCTAGTAAGTGTCCGAGGCTATATTTGAACTCAGGAAGATGAGTCTGACTGTGGGCCTGGCACTCTATCCACTCTGACACCTACCTTCTTGGTTATCTGCTATTTCAGGTACTTCAGGAATGCACAAGTTCAGTGGTAGTGCATTTAAGCTAGTACATTTCACATACCTCTTTCTTGTCTTCTTCTTGGTCTATTCCATATTCAAATGATGGTAAATGTTGTATTTCACTTCTTAATCCTGACTGAGGACCATCATGAACCTGAAAACAATCCAACTGCATTTAAACTACAAACTATGAAAATTTAGCCAGAGTACTTTTTTTTCTACATTTTATTATTCTTTTATTTTTCAACCTTGAGCTAAGTTTTGTGAAGAACCCAAACTCAAAACAAACTACACATAAAAGAATGAAAGAGGCCAACTTCAGAGGAAGTCAGTCAACCAAGACCACAGAGTAGAGAACAATGGATAGTTTGGTGAGAAAGATGAACAACATCTTAAAGTTAATATTAATCTCGGTGTTTTGTACATGCCTTGAGTTTGTTCAGATCTGAATCCAAGACTTAGAAATAAAGGTCTGGGTTCTAAAATCTCAGTGTCTGACATTATCTACAATTCAGATTCATTTCCCTTTACAGGAATGCAATGGAAGCAGGAGCCTGAAATATGTCCTTAGTGACACAGCAAAGAGGGACATGAAACTTATTTCTTCCATTAGAATAAAATTCAATTATAACAAACTTAGTATGCAGATTTTAATATGATGGCTCAAATCACACTCCCTAGGGATAAACAAAAAGTCCAATATGACATAAGGGCGGGCCTAGTCCTGTCATCTAATACCAGTACTATAAAAGCTCTGACTTGATTTCACCAAAAAAAACCTCTCAGACTGAGAATTCATTCATTGATTACCTCTTTTTGATTTCTAAAAGTTCATCTTAAAAAAAAAAAAGATGGCTTTTCCCCCACCAAAATCACAACAGAGGGATGATAATTCTGATAAGGGTTTTTACATCATGATATGAGAGGAGAAGTAATCCGAGGATACCTGGGTACAGTGCCTAATATACATTAACTGCTCAATACACTCAACACTTAATGTGACTAAATGAAATGCATAAATGAATACATAAAGGAGATAAATCACTAGTATGGCAAAGAAAATAACATCAGTTGGAGGGAAAAGCTACAGTATATATGTTGAAAAGTACAAAGACTAATTTTCAACAGCATGGGATAGTTCCTCTCATCACATTCTCTCCTCTGCTTAAAAAAGCTATAACCTATGATCTGCCTCTTTACCACTTCAAGGGTCTTTGCTTACCACTCCCTCTTTAACTGTGTAAATGGGCATTACTCAACACTAACATCTTCTATTCCCTCCTGCTCAGGGCGAAAACAAGAGCAAATTATGTACCAGCACATAGCACCAATACCCATACCGGGAAGGCAGGGATCAAGACATTTTTACATGGCTCCAGACGCTTGTCCTATGCTCTTATGAAGGGGTTTCTAGGGACTCCACATTAAGTCTCCTTTTACAAACTCCAACTGACTAGAAAATGGTTAACTCTCAGGAGTAAAGTGAACAAAAACAAAACAAAACACTCAGCTGCCTTAAAACATATAATTCAGTCACTGTTTTCAGGGTTTAGGCATTGTGACACATTGCAACTGGTGGCACTTATGAACTACTCCAGTAATGTGTGTCACCATGCTTCTAGTAACTTGGCATCTAATAAAGGATGAAATCACCTAAAGCAAAGATACTGAAATAAGTCAGGAAAAGAGGATATCCCTAACCAGCAGGGCTGAAGAAAACTCTACTTTCAGTGGGATTCATCTCTTACCCTAGGAGTTATGAAATTTATGTTTGTATAATACCAGCTGAGTTGATTCCTAGTGCCAAAAGAAACCATATTTATTTATTTATTTTTTAGGCAATTGGGGTTAAGTGACTTGCCCAGGGTAACACAGCTAGTAAGTGTCAAGTGTTTGATCTGAGGCCAGATTTGAACTCAAGTCCTCCTGACTCCAGGGCCGGTGCTCTATCCACTGCGCCACCTAGCTGCCCTAAAAGAAACTATAGAAACATACTTCTTAGCAGTGGCCAAAAATGAAGACAAAAACTGAAAATCCAAACTATGTCCCTAACTTCCCAGTATCTTACTTGTTCTCCCAGCATTGACTGTAGTCTAATCTTATAAAGCCCTAATCCAAGTTACTTCTATTTTCTCTGCTCTGCCTGATCTCTGCTAAAGGTCTCGGCATAACGACTAGGTGAAAGTTCCTGGTGGCCTCTCTCTTTCTTTCACTTGCTATGGTGATATTTAAGGGAAATAATGGTAGCCAATAAAATGTTTTCTATAAAGACACAAAGTCCATATACGGACTTTTTCGAGGAAAAATACTCTTGGCTGCAGTGAGAAGTATGGGGCAATTTTAAGAGTCTAAGGAATTCTGACACTTAATGGAATAAAACAGGACATTATTCTCTTAGCTCTGTGTCCAGGTAGTACTAACTCTATACTGCCAAACCAGTTACAGTTACAGTGCTAGTAAACCCCTGCCCTAATCTTGAGGAGATTACTCTCTGTGGCTCCCCCTTCTCTTCGGTCCGTTCTGCAGGCTCCCTGGTGATATCAGTTTTCATACCAGATGATGTCTTCTAAAAACAAAAAATATAAAATACACATTTTTGCTTGCAAGTGGAGGAAATACACTAGCGATACTCTTTTATACTTTGGCGACAGCCTTACAGTAATTTATATTTTACAACATAACATAGGACACGCAACCCTTACCCCAACTCCATAAACCCTAATGCCATTGTCCACAAACCAGTTATGATATAGTCTTAACAAGTCCCAACCCAAATCCTAAGTAGTTATTACTTTTTGCACTCTCTGTAATCAACTTAGAGCACCACTTGCCCCCTGTTAAGATTTCACAGGGAATGAATGTTTTTGTCTTTCTCTCACTAGTAAAACCCATGATGACTTTCTGAAAAGTGTTTTAAATAAAAAATATAAAATGTCAATTACCTCTGATAGTAGTAATATACTAGGATTTCAGTGAAAGCTATTGGGTAATTTTAACAGGGTAATCTAGGTAAAATGAAGGACTTTAATATAGATATTTTAAGTTCCATTAAGGTCCTAATGCTATGTCTCCAAACCAGTGGCAGCATAGTCTTGGCAAGTTCTATATCAAATTTCAAGTAGTTATTTCTTATGGTTCACTTACCTCTTTAGTCTCCTGGTCCTGTATCTTTCCTGGAAGATGGTTAGGAGGGGGCTTTCCTATACCCTTCTCATCTGCACTAACAGATAACAGCTGCCCAAAATATATTTTCTGAAAAAACAAAACAAAAAAACAAAACAAACAAACAAAAAAGAATGAAACATCAATAGCCTGAGAAAGGGCCATACACTAGAAATAATACTCTAGGTTTCATCAAAAGCCTTGTCATCAAATCTTAGTAGGCTGAGTTCATCTGGTATATCAAAAGATAATAAAGATATACTAACCAGCTTCTCAGAACCTAACTTTATACTGCCAAAGTAACTGCAGCATTATAGTCCTAGCAAGTATCAGCCTTAACCCAGAGGAGTTTACTTTCTGCTGCTCCCTCTCCTCTTTCTTCTGCTCCCCATGGGCTGGAAGGAACAGATCTGTCTGATCTTTCAGAGGAAAGTCCTTTCCCTCTTACATTCTTCAAATAGGGGTAATATGTGAGTGGTCATACTCTAGGCTTTGGTAAGAGTCTTCAGTGAGGCTCTCACTAACTTTAGAAGGCCAAGTCTGATACATTATGGAATAAAACAGGATAGATGATGTATGCCAACAGATATCACAGCTCCTAAGTCTGACTGCCAAAGACACTAGCTATTTGCCCTTGTGTTCTAAAATGGAAATATTTCCAGAACGTTCACGGTTTTATAATCTGGCAAGAAGACAAGCTAGGACATTTTTTTGTTTCTATGTTCAGAGTTGAAATAACATTTACAGCCAGGGTGATTCTGATGTGACTAAAGGCAAACCCAACAAGGAAATAGTTTAGAGCAACTGGAGTTATAGATCCTCCTCCTTTCCTGAGTGGCAGGTTCCCACCCCTGGTAATTAAGGGGGTAGAAAGCAGTGTAGACTTGAGGGGAGGGGTAATAAATTCGATTTCACTCACAAAAGAAAGTCTTAGCCCCATTTTCAGTCACTGCTCACAAGAAGAGAATTTTTTTTCCCTGATGCTTCACCCAGAAAACACACAAATAGCCTTGAGGAGGAAGCACACTCTGATTTCAATATAAAAATAATACTTTAAACCGAGTGGCGCCTTTGACACATAAGACTGGTTTATACAACACTGTCATATCAGATTTAATCCTTTCTCCTTGTGAATAATGATTTCAAATCAAGTGTGTGGACAGCACTCTTTCTGGAAAAACATCAGTCAAATCACTGGAGCATGCTCCACCCACAATGCCCCATGTCAGTTCCTAGAATCTAATAATCCCGATTCAATCACCTCCCTCTACCAGCATCCTGGAGCCAACCTAACACTCTAAAACACAGTACTGCTAAATAGTCTGTGTTTGCAAAGGCCTTAAAAAGCGCGTCACTGGGAAGTGCTTACGCAGAAAAGCAGCTATCTCACCAGGTTCCTGACAAGGCAAAAACTGAGTTCTACAATTAACTTACAATTGGCCACATAGAGGAGAAAATCATAATCATAATACTAGTAACAACAGCAGCAGCAGCAACAACAGTTGGTCTTTATATCCTGCTTTAAGACTTATAAAGCATTTACATACATTATCCCATTTGAGTTTTACAATGGCACTAACTGCTGGAGATCAGAAAGGGATTGGGGGGATGGTGGTACCCTTAAGCATTATGAGTAGAGAGGTTAGGGGAAATTTAATGTTGTTTTGACATGTTTTTGATGTGTCAATGAGAACCCCAGTTTGAAATTTCCAAGAGGCAGTTAGAGATGCATGACTGGAGCTCAGCAGAGTCTAGGGATAGAAATATAGATCTAGGAACCATGAGCATATAAATGATAATTGAACCCATGAGAGCTAACTTTGATTAAAGTTCCAACTCCTTGGTATGGAATTCAAGGTTCATTCTCTCTCCCCCACCAGGAAAACACAGGTTTTCATGACAAGTCCAATATTCTATCCAATAAGCCATCCTGTCTTTCTGTTTATATCTGCAAAGCTGAAACAACACTCACAGCTTGAATGATTGTGGTGACAAATACTAAACAGAAGCTTCACACCCATATATCATTCTTTGAATAAGAGATTCTGAAGGTATAAACATGATATACCCTGAATATCACCACAGCAGCCAGGAAACTATTAGTTACTAATGTGGAAATAATTTGAGTCAATAGATTTGAACAGATTATGTAATAGAGAAAAAGTAAAAAATCAACACCAAATTAGAAAGGCCTAGCATGGTGACAGAGCAGCAATAACTTACCAATACAGTAAGTCTACTTTCATATCTCTATAAAATCTCCATGAGAATGATCTATCTACATATTAAAGGAATTCTTGATGAAAATAAGCAATTTGACCGATGTTTTTCCATAAAGAGGTCTACAAACAAATTGTTCTACAAACAATTTCCTACAACAGATAACATCTTCCTAGTCACACTGGTAATTGAAAAGTACAGGAAATATAAGATTTTGCTTTGATTGTTGATTATAGAATATCATTTGACTCAGCACCAAAAAACAGAGCCTTTAAGGCTTTCCTATGACAGAAGTATCTCCCATGCATATGTTAAGATTCCAGAAAAAATGTTTTGTTTGTTCAATGATCTATATCAAAATGATGCATAAAATAGGGAGACTGTCAAAGTGTTGGCCATTATTATGAAGAATGTCTCGGAGAGAATCCAAATAAAGGTATTACCTGGAGAAGGTAAAATCCTCCAAATGGTTCTGTTTGGAGTTACCATTGTGCAGACTGCATCAAGCCATAGAATACTAAGGGGATTCATAAAAAAAATACAAGACCATTCAAGAGAAGAAAGTGGCCACAATGGAAAAGCTAAGTGGATTAAAAATGTCTGTTGTCCTAACTATAACACCTAGTTGGATGGGTGGTCCATTGACAGTCCAATACCTTGAACAGGCAGGCAATGTAGATGGATAATGAGGTAGGCCCAGAATTGAATAGATTTTGAAAACCATGAAGCACTTTCAATGATTCTAAGCTGTTCTTTGAAACAAATGCCTATTTAAAAATATTATTCTTTTGGTTATGCTATATGGCTGCTATTCATGACACATCTCAGTTTTCAAGAATATCAACAAGTAAATCAGTGGGAACAGAAAAATGCATTAATGGACATAAGTAGATTGAACTAAATTACCAACAATTACTTATATGCAAAAATGGAATAAAAGTATCATCCAGAAAATGATGATCAGAAAAAAAGGGCAGGTTACTCATGTAATTAAAGTGAGGCGTATCAGATGGGCAGCCTGAGGGCTATACTGGTACCCAGAAAATGTCAAAAAGCACTAGAAGAAGGCCCTCAGAGGTCTTATTAGATAGTTCATGCAAAATTCAGGAAAGGACATGGACAGGAATAGAAAGGGATGAGTAGTGTGGATTGACTGTAAACAGGAAGTAATCACAGATCCACATAAGTATTCAAGTATATGCTTAATAAGAAACTAACTTAAGGCACAGTCAGCATAGAACTTAACGCAACAACTGTTTTTTATTCATTCATTATATATAAAGGCACTGTTCTAGGTGCTGGAAGTACAAAGAAAAAAAAAAAGAATGGTCCCTTCCCTTAAAAATTTTAAACTATGTGGAGGGAGACATAGTAGAATACAGAGTAGTTCCATGAGGTAGAAGAAGCTAAAACTAAGAAGGAAAGGGACAAGAGAGAATCAAAAAAGGCTTCTACTAAGAAATGATGTCTGAGCTAAGCCTAGATGGAAACTAAGGATTCTAAAAAGTAGATGTTAAGAGAGAATACATTTCAGCCATGGGGGCCCAAACATGTGAAGGTAGATGGAATGTTGATTTCAGGGTGAGAGGAGGAAGCATCTAGTAGAACATCTGAATGGACCTCAGAATGCATGAATGTTTTACATGAATTTTATGAAATGAGTCTGGAAAAACTGGGAGCCAGATTGTGGAAGGCCTTAAACAGCGGTCTTAAGAGTTTGTATTTCATCCTCAAGGTAAAAGGACACCACTGAAGATTTTTTGACCTGAAGAATAACATCACTAGAACTATGCCTTAGGAAGATTATTTTGACAGTTATAAGGAGAATATATTAGAGAAGAAAGAGACCAGAATCAGGGACAAAAATTAGGAGGCTATTGCAAAAGTGTAGATAATAGGACCTAAGGGTTTTTACTAAAATAGCAGCAATGTGAGTAGAGAGAAGGGCAATGAAGAAAGGTGTTATAAAGACAGAATCAACAAAATTTGGAAACTTATTGAATATGAGAGTGAAATAAAGGGAAAAGTTTAGGATGGCTTTGAGGCTATGAACCTGAGAGACTGAAAGGATAATGGTGTCATCAAGAAATCTGAAGTGGTGGGTTTCACAGAGGGAAAGGAAAGATAATAAATTGGGTTTTAGATGTGTTCAATTTGACAATCTGGTAGGACATCTAGGGAATTATATCCAGCAGGCAACTAACTGGAAATGCAGGAAGTGCAGATATAGTTAAAAGGATACAATGGAGAAATTTTATAAAAGCCGGTCATCAAGAATTCAAAAGGAATTCTATAAGTTAAGACAACACAAGGTTATAGGAGTTCAGCATCCAGTCTCAGGAACTTTGAAGAAAATATAAAAGAAACCAGAGAACGGAATTTTAATCTGTTGACTTGTCAGTTTTAGGATACTCTTTAAATAAATCTTTTACATTCATAGTCTCTTAAGAGTTCACTCTGAACTGTTATTTTGACTCAGTGGAGTTTCTTAGCAAACTAATTTACCTCTTGGGGAGGGTTGCTCTCTGTGCTATCTTCTGAAAGTCCTAATGGTTTCTCCCCATCTGCAGTTTTTCGGGAAGCCAGTTGTTGACGAGCTTGCTTCACAGTTTGGCTAAGCTGCCAGAGAAAGCAAGGAAAAAAGAAAAAGAAAAAAAACAAAAAACAAATGTTAATACCAATAACAACAAGTGTTCTAACAGGAAAATAGGCTCCTGCTATTAAATTCATGCCAAACTTATGACAAGAGGATTATTTTCACAAGAGATTTTCATCTCGTGATAATACTTTTGTATAACAACTTTATTTTCATTATTTCAACTCAGCAATTTTTATTTCATCATTTTATCTTAGAGTTACTAGTCAAATAAGTTTTTGACATTATATATTTTTACTTTAAACGTGAGCTCAAAAATACCCAAAGCTTAAATTCTGGATTAACATGCACAGCAGTTATTGAATAGATACTTCCCACCTTGAAAGGCAGGAAGATATAGCATAAAAAGCATCCTACTTAGAAGTCAGCTCTGTGTTTGAATCTCACCATAGCCACCTACTGTGTGACCATGGGCAACTTACAACTACTCAGACACTCAGTCCCTTGTCTGTAAGATGGGGTTTACTTTACTTTTACTACCAATCTCACAAGGTTGTTCTGAAGAAAATGGGTTGCAACTTTAAAGCTCCGTATAAATGTACTATTAGTATTATTACTATAGTCATCCCTCCAAATGGCAAACTTCTGAACAGATATCCTTCTATCAGTGACTCCTTGTCAACCTAACTGCTTTTGTTATTCCTTATTCATACCCTTCATTTCTAGACACCCTTTCCCCATTAAAAAGTTTTGCTAGCCTCTATGTACACTCTTCTCTCCCATTTTGTGTTATCCCTTTCCCATTTTTAGATAACAATCCAACCTTCCTTTAACATCTTTGTTCTAATTTCCCTTCCCCAATTAATGCAGACTATAAGCTCATTGCTTTTAATACTATATTTGGCAAAAGTGCTATTATGTGGTCCTTTAATATTTATGTCACCTACATATTCATTCTGTCTCCACCCATTATTTTAGTATTTACCTATTTATTACTTTTCATTAAAATAGCTTGTCTTAAATAAGACTATAGGATAATTGATTTGGAACTGGAATCTTCCTGTAGTAAAGAAAGGGTATGTAATAAACTATTCCCCTTTATAGATGGCTAAAGACAGTGGATTCTTCCCATGTCACACATTTTAATAGTGGAAAAGTCATGACCACTTCAACCATTTGCTGGAATTTTGACATAAAATTTTTTTCCTAAAATGAGAAAAACAGGGTCTATAAATTTCTGGCAAAGGAATATGCAAAGATGAAAAATTTCAGATGATTACTAAAAAGTAATCTAAGTTTCAGGGTCCCTTTCTCATTACCTTCCTGGTCTCCCTACAGTATACAACCTCTTACTAGATTCTAATTGTTTTTAAAGAGTTTGTATCTTCTTGAAAAGAGATCAACTTTAAAAACTGGCATTTGTCTTCTGAAAGACTTAGATTTCAATGAGCTTGTTTCAGAATGGCTCAACGAGCCAAGATGAAGATATTCACAATACATAATGAGGCATATGTGTAGCTAAAGTTATAAAAAACACAGTATCATGAATTATTCTTGCTCTTATTATTTGCCAAGTGGTAGGGAGCACTGCCCTGTGCCATGTGGTCAGGGAATCAAAGTCTCCTTTGTAAAAGACCTGCAGTAAGAAGTAAAATAAACTTTAAACCTTTATTACAATCACCACATTGCCTGAAGGACTATTCTCTAAATCGATCAAGCAAAAAATTCTGGGCGATGTTAACATTTGTAGTCTTTCCTCTCTCCAGCAACACCCCTTCCCTGACTACAAACCTCTAATATCGGTTAACATGCGTACGAAGACAGATTGCAAGAGAATAAAAGGGAACATATGTACTTTTTAAAAAGGCAACTTTACTTATAAAATCATTGAAAATATATTGTACGTAAGGGATTTACTTATTTGAAGATGACAATGATCACTATCTGTGTTTATGCATGGTTAAAAAAGCTCACATGTGACCCAAAGTCTGTTCACATCATGCAAATATACACATTACACTTTGATATGAAACTATGGTTGTAATTTATAAAGCCTAGCAATGATAACAGACTTTGCTTCTGGCTCACTTAGCACCTTCATAATGCCTTGGCTTAAAAGTCAACCTTGGGGCAGGTAGGTTGCACAGTGGATAAAGCTCTGGCCTTGGAGTCAGGAGGACCTGAGTTCAAATCCGGCTTCAGATACTTGACACTTACTAGCTGTGCGACCCTGGGCAAGTCACTTAACCCCAACTGCCTCACCAAAAAAAAAAAAAAAAAATGTCAACCTTTAGGGGCAGGTAGTTGGCCCAGTGGATAGAGCACCAACCAGCCCTAGAGTCAGGAGGACCTGAATTCAAATTTGACCTCAGATACTTGCTAGCAGTGTGTTGCTTCCAAAAAAAAAAAAAAAAACACTCGCAACCTTTACATAATTAATATAGGGGATTAAATTACATGCAAATGAGTATCTGGCCTTTTTCCCCTCCATATATCTAGAGGTGGTCCTCAGGAAAATCTTAAGAAACTACCAGTCTAATAAATAAAATTAATGCCAACAAATCTCACCTTCTTCCTAACAGCCACCAATGGCTACCTTCCAGCTGACTCTTATAAAATGCAGTTGTCTTCTACTTCATTTCCAAAGCCAGGACCTCAGAATATCTAGTATCTACTTAACAAAGTACTGAATTTAGTTTGAGAGTTCAAGGACTAAATTTAGTTTCCAGACTTTAGAAAGGGTTGACAAATTAAAATTAATTCTACTTTGTAACTGATTCTATATTGTATTGATTTCCTATTATAATTGATCCATTTCTATGTCCTTGAGCTGAACTCAGAAATTCAAGTTTCCTTCTCAGTTAAAGTTATCACGAAAAGAACAGCTGTTAGCTTTCATACCAGTAGCCCCTGAGAATACTGTGGTAACCCCCGGAATACTTCCAGGACACCTACTTATCTTTAAGTCCCACAAGTTAACTTGGTACCACCCCCAAAAGATATATTGTCTATCTTTGCCTGTCCTTGTATGATTAGGGGAGTTTTTATCTCTTCCAAAGAGACAGCAAGTCTGGTAGTTTTGATCCCCTCACAAAGATTACAAGATGTAGATGGGCCCCATAAAACAATTAGCTTTTCTACCTGTCAGAGAGGGGCAGTGATCAGCCTCATGTGAATGCCAGCCCACCTTCCTTAGTATAGTCAATCATAACATTCCTGTTTCGACCCTATAACCTATCACTTTTTCTCCATGCCTACTAATATCCCTTCTTTGTTGTGTGTCAACAAAGAGGCTCTCCTCTTCTCACTGGGGCTGCTGGCTTTACTGAGGTTACCAGTCTGACCCACTTTGTTCACAGTTATACAAGTCACTGTTAATAAACTAATTTTGCTCAAAGTCATGTACCTCAGTTTACCTTTATTAATTTTATTTGTCATAGGGTGTAAAAAGTCTACAATGCGTTGAGAAAAACAACCTATATAATGAAAAGGTTCTAGAAGAAAAAATCAGAGAAGTTGATGAAGTTTTTCCTGGAAAAGAAATGGCTAAACTGGGGCATAACAGTCTGCAAACACAAAATTGGTTATGTAGAGAAGAGCAAACAACCTCGATCATATGCTTCCAATATCCATAAAAGAATAAAGCTGACCAATGGGTATTGTAGAAATTCCATCCACAGGCATCACTATCATTTGACTATAGCTGACTACAAGGCAAGGGCCTACTATATCAAGTATGCATATATATATGCATGCCATCTTGGTGAGTGGGAAGGTGAGAGGAGGGAAAAAAAAATTTGGAACTCAGAATCTTATAAAAGCGAATGTTGAAAACTACCTTTGCCTATAAATGGAAAAAAATAAAATACTATTAAGTGGGGAGAAAAAGGAAAAAAAAAAAAACACGGCAAAGGCCTAGATCAGCTGACGTCCTGAAGTCTCTTCTGATGTTGTGATTCTCTATTCAATCTCAAGTGATATAGGAAACTAGGAAAAACCAGGCTAGATTCTTCATGAGACCAGAGTTCTAGAGCTGAAAGCAGGTTAGTTCTTGTTGGCATACCAAGTACAAGAAGCTAAGAAAAATCCATATTAAGAAATAATAGTCCATTATAATATGTGTTGGACCACACTTGGTGTACTGCACTCAGTTCTAGGAACCATATTTTAAGGGTAAAAATTACAAACTGTGGAGCATTTAGAAAAAGACAACCAAGAGGATGGTGAGAGGTCTGTAAACAGTGTCATATAAGGAAAGACTTAAACAGGGGCTATTTAAGGAATTATTTCCAGATAATTAGAGCTGTCCAATAAAAGAACAAATTGCTACACAAAGTAATGAGTTCTTTGTAACCAAAACTGTTCAAGCTGAGGCTGCATAAATCATAAGTTAGGGACATCGTATAAAAGATTCCTATGTTGCACAGGAGGTTATTAGACCATTTGATCTCAAAGGTCTCTTTCAACTTCAAAATTCTATAATTCTGTGATTCCAAATCACAACAGAGCTGATAATTTCATGAAATTCTAACAGAAGGATAACTTTCATTATTGACCTCAATATGTAACCAAATTTCAGGCTCTTTAATCAGGTCTGGGGGAAATGGAGAAGTCAGTTCTTAAATGTTTCCACAATAAATATAATAGCCAGTGACATCTAATGGATTAAAAATTACAAGAAAGATAAGATCAGGAAGCACATATTTCCTTTTTTTAGTGTACAATTTCTTTATACAAATGAATTTGCTTTACAGATGCATCATAACTGAGGCTACTTTACTGAAGATTTTTTAAATGGCCAACTTGCTTCAGAGAAATTAAAAGGAATATATAATAGGTTGCTTTAAAAATTCTTCATCATTTAGCCTCAGTGTTGCTGTCCAATTTTATTTCCCTTTACTTTTATATTCAACGTGAAGGCTACTGTAGAGGATGAAAAACTGCAAGACAAAATTGATGATGAAGACAAAACAGAAAATTCTTGACAAATATAATGAAATAATCAACTGGCTGGATAAAAACC